GCAGGTCAGGCACGCGAGAGCCTCCGACAGAATTTGCTCAAGGTTAACTTCAGGTAGTGCCTACCTTGGGACAGGCCTCAATTTATGTGGACCGCGCGATTGGCTGAGAAGTCCCTGTCAGTCGCGGCGTGGCATGCGCGCCGGAGGTCGTAGAGATTGCTGCGCTAGGTTGATGTACTATGCTGGTCGGTCTGTGCGCGGCGGTGGTCCATGCAATCCGTGCCATGTCTGAAGTCGCAATGCGGGTCCAGTGGCGTGTATAACGGTGAGTGCACGTCCTCGATGTGCCGCTATGTCGCGTTTGGTGTTGCCGCCCATCTCTTCCTCGCTGCTTCGGACAATGAAGCTGACAGTATCTTGTGGGCCGTGGAGTTCGGACGGGTGAAATTTGGCTGCTGCGCATCGCTGCGCGCCGTTCTCGCTGCGCCCGAGCAGCGGCGGGTGCACCCCTGGTCCATGGTTGCGCCTGCATGTGTTGGGCTTTGCGGAGATACGCGCGGGGAGCAATGTCGAGCAGACTTGTTGGTGCACTGGCCCGCTATTCCCGAAGTCGCTGGTCGAAAGGTAGAAGTCGTACATTGAGTCGACGTAGGAAGTGCTGTATCTCTGGTATTAGCCAACTGCTTGGAGCCTGTCTGCTGTCATGGACCGCTTCATTGGCGCTTAGCGTCGTGTACGTCTCTCTTTCTTGCTGCGTTCCATGTCTGGCACGGTGGCCTGGCCGTAATGGCTGCGACTCTTCCTTCCCGCATCTGGATTATGCGGAAGTCGTTTGTGGCCCAGTTTCTCAAGTCCTAAACGGTGTCGCGTTTGGCGACGTCGGTGGACAGCGCGTAGGCCTGCGTGCTGCGTGGCGATTGGAAGTGTTCTATACATTCTAGCAGGTCTCCTCCCCGTCCGTGCTCATTGTAGCGGTGCCGAACGAAGCGTATCAAATGTTCCACAAGTCGCGGTATGGTTGGATTGGTCGTCTGGTCGCTCCGCAGGTGCGAATCTGTCGTGATTTGCGCTTTGGTCCTTGGTGAAGGTAGGCCTGATGTCGGTCTTGTTGTTGGGGATGTGGGCGCAGTCGGGTGGTATACCTGCTTTGGTCTTGGCTCCCTGGGTCCGCTGCCGGAAGGTAGAAGTACGATCTTCGTTATCTGGGTGTTGAGTCGCATCATGCGGTGGTCACGTACTTGCCTCGACGATCTGAAGTACTGTCGTCGCCGTGTGTACTGCTTGCTAGGGGTAGGTCGTAGCGCACGCAATCATGCCTTCCACGGATGAGGCATATGTGAATGATTTGCCTCCATCGCGTCCGTTGGTCAGTCGTTGGATTGTATCCTTCGCCCGCTGATGCTCATAGCTATTGCGTCGGTGGTCCTCGCAAGTGCCACGTTTCAGGGAAACTCGGACATAAGTGCTCCTGATCGCGTCCCCGTGCGCGATTGGGCGACGCGGGTCGGCCCTGTCGTTGTAACGCGGAGGTCGGCGTGAGCGTCTCTGAAAAGTGACACACGGTCCTCGTCGCCGATGTTGCTAATGTGAGGGGGGGCCTTGGAACGCGCTGAAGAAAAAGTTGGAGTGCTGGGGGGGTGCCGATGCCGCCGAATAGGTCGCGTAGGTCGCCGTCATAGTCGGTAGTTTGTAGAACAACCAAACAAACACCACCGTGTAGAAAACGTCCTTCAGGTCTAAGACTAGGAGGATGCCGTTTCTCCCGCTTGCCTTCAAGATGTTGATGAACGTGGGCGTGGTGTGAGTGACAAAGACAATGTTCCTGCCAGGTCAGGCGCCGCTTTGGACGTCACGTAGTAGGCTGGCTTTGATATACCCTCCCCGTCCTCCTCCTCCTCCACTTCCTCCTCCTCCTCCTCGTCCTCCTCCTCCTCCTCCTCCTCCTCCTCTTCCTCCTCCACAATCGCATCATCAGCATCATGATCGCGACGTCGGCTGTGACCGTGCTCTATGCCATGCCACGCTGTGCTGTACCATGCATCGCGTACTCTCTCGGGATCATCGTACTGTCCAGCATCCGACTGTGCGAATAGAGAGGAGATCTACGCAATGGTAACGGATGGGAGGGAGGGGTTGGCCGTCAAATATGACGCGTGCGCACCTAGCTTGCCTTCCTCCTCTCCCCCCTCCCCTCCTCCTCCACCTCCACCTCCGCCTCCACATCCTCTTCCATCTCCTCCTGTTATCCTCCCTTCCCCGTTTCTCCTCCCCTCCCCCTCCCCTCCGCTCCTTTCCTCCCCTCATTGACACCTCCTCACCTTCCTTCCTCCTGCCTTTCTTCCAATCATCTCCTCTCCTCCTCCATTCCTCCAGTCCTGCTCCTTGACTGGCGACGGCGAAGACGCAATGGCGAGAAGGGTCCTACGAACAACGCCGCCACCTTCGTTGCCCTCGCCGTCGCCAGTCACGGAGCAAGGATGCAAGCGTGGCGGACAAGGGGGGAGGTGGGAAGGAGAAAGAGGAGGAAAGCTCGAATGATGAAGAGAACGGGTCCTCAAGGAAACGGGTCCTGGACCCAGGGGCCCTTTCCCGGGACCAATTTTTGGTCCAGGGTACAACTGTTTGACGGCCCCGGGGCCCAGGGAAGGTCCTGGGAACCCGAAAACGACGGAAGACTTGAGGACAAGTTTCCCTCAGGACCCGCTTGCTTCGTGGCGAGAGTAGCGCCTCCTCTGGCCCGCTGGTGGGCGGCGACGGCGGCGACGGCGACGACGGCAGCGTTTTCGGCGAGGGTGTCTCCTTCGGCCCCGCGGCGGACGCGATGGAGCCGGCCAGGCGCGAGAGCTGCTCCAGCACCGGCGCAGGCAGCAGCCTCTCTGCTCGCGCGCGCGTAAGGCCCGACATAGCCGCCGCCGCCGCCGCCGCCGCCGCCGCCGCCGCCGCCGCCGCCGCCGCCGCCGCCGCCGCCGCCGCCGCCGTCGTCGTCGTCGTCGTCGTCGTCGTCGTCGTCGTCGTCGTCGTCGTCGTCGTCGTCGTCGTCGTCGTCGTCGTCGTCGTCGTCGTCGTCGTCGTCGTCGTCGTCGTCGTCTCAAGGGTTTCTGTGCGTTCCTGGAAGCTCCCGTCGCCTCGTTCGGGCGCAGCTCGGAGAACTGGCCAGGACGTGCCCTGGGAGGGGTCCGGGAACAACACATTCCGACTCCTTTTTTTTCTCTCCCTCGGGGAACAAATAATGATACAGTCCAGGCGCGGCCGCCAGAAACCCTCGCAAGAAACCCAACCCTGAGAACCCGCGCGCGAGGTGCACCTGAGGGGAAACCTAGGCATCGCTCGGACGTCCATTCCCTGTGTTTTTTTCGGTTTCGTGCGTGGTTGTTTTGCCAAATGATCAAGGATGCTCCTCGATGGTCCTCGCCGAAGGAAAAATGCACACGTCCGAGCGATGCCAAGAAACCCAGAGCACTCTGAACGCAGCCGCTCCTTCCCCGGCTGCGGGAAGCCACCACGCGGCGCGGGGAGCGAAGAAACCCAGGGTACCCTGACGCAAAGTAGATGGTTGCTTGATGCGCGCCCCAACTGTACAAACATAAACTCAGAGGTTCGCGCTGTTTTTTGGGATCGGCGCTGGAGCTGCCTGGCCCGCTCCGCTCTCCAAACAGGGGGATCCAGCACCGATCCCAAAAGTCCGCGAGGACCCCTGAAACCTTGATGTTTACGCCATTGTTGACTTGGCGGATTTCGATATGGCGCCGCCGTCGTCGACCTTGATGACGACGCGGACGACGAGCCCGAATGGACCCCCCTTCTGCGCGCCGCTGAGATCCCGGACCTCCGACGCCGTCACTTCTTCAGCACGGGATCCCCGGAATTCTCGACCCCTTCGCGGGGACCCGTCTTTCATCCCGAGTCGCTTTCTGACGGAGCCCCCAAGAGGCCGAACATGTTCAAAGACCTTCCGCCCTGACATTTGCCAGCGACGCGGAGGGAACCCGAGGAGTCTGTCCTGCAGCCCCACAGCTCTCCGCCCAGGGTGCCACCGCCATTGCCGCTCGTCCTCGTCCTCCACCCACATAGGGCCTCGCCTTCTTACTTCTGCATAGCCGATTCCAGAAACCCTGAACCCAAAAATGTTGTCATCTCTTGGGGGCGCAATGTGTACTTCCGCCACCTTCCGCCGCCCTTCCGCCAGCTTCCGCTGGCTGAGGCGGCCCCGTATTACTTCCGCCGATCCGCCGCTCTTCTGCCGCCTTCCGCTGCGGAAGAGATGGCAACTCTTTCTATCCTTGAAGGCAAGGTCCTTTCTGGAACGCCGCATATGTTGGAATTTCCCACCTCCATGTTTCAGCCCCGCCTCGGCAGCTGCTCGAAGGCGAAGACTTGTGACGATTCGGTCCCAAGTGGTCGCATATTGTATCGTACCGTCGCCCACCTGCCCCTCGCGGGTGCTGGCGCCGGTTGGCGACGGAGGGCGCCGAATCGGGACGGAATCGGGACTCGTCGCCATTCCACGCGCCTCCATCTATGTCTGCACCTCCTCGAAGGAAGGAAGGTGAGAGGGAAGGCCTCGGGAGGAGGGGAGGAGGGCGGGGCGGAGGGAGGGGAGTACGGCAGGATAGTGCTGTGCCGACTTCGCTGCTGATTTCTGACGCCGCGGGGTCCGGGATCGTTCAAACTTGAACGATCGGCCGTTTCTGAAACGGAGTAGGATCGTTCAGCATCGACCGACTCTGGGTCGCCCGCGGCGTCCAACGTTGAACGCCCGCGGCGGGGTCGCCGCCAATGGACACGGCGCGAACTTACCGTCAGCGCTTGGGTTGCCACTGCTTCTGGGTACGCAAGACAGGGCGCCCCAGCGCCGTCCCGAGCAGTCCGCGCGCTCCCCACTGTTGGGCGCGCGACGCCTCTGTTCTCCGTCAACCCTGGGCCTTTCGACCGCCTCCCTGGATGCGACGTGCATCGACAGGGGCAGAGGAGGGGGAGGGGGAGGGGGAGGAGGAATAAGAGGAGGAGGAGGAGGAGTAAGAGGAGAAGGAGGAGGAGAAGGAGGAGGAGGAGGAAACTTTTGCGGCCTCACAGCTCTCACAGATCTCCGCCCCCTGCGCCCCCGCCGCGCCGAGAGCTCCCGCCGCTGCCGGCCGCGGGGGCGCTCGCCGGGCCGGTGCCGGCCGCGGCCCCCTCGTCGGGGCCACCTGCAGCTTCTCGCTCGGCCTGGGTCGTCGTCGTCGTCGTCGTCGTCGCCGTCGGCGCCGTCGTCGTCGTCGTCGCCGTCGCCGTCGCCGTCGTCGTCGTCGTCGCCGTCGCCGTCGCCGTCGTCGTCGTCGCCGTCGTCGTCGTCGTCGCCGTCATCGTCGTCGTCTTCGTCGTCGTCGTCGATGGGGGGGGATAGCATCGAGCTGGAACCGTCAGTAAGAATAGATCGGCGACAGGCCCCCTTATGGCGAAACCGCACGAACCTGGGCGGGGTCGGCTATCGGGCCCCTATCGGCGACGAATGGGCGATTAGGGGTCGATGCATCTCCCCCTGAGCCTACCCCCCTAATGCTGCCCCTGAGTTGTGGAGGTCGTCGCCGTGTCGGAGGGGAGGGATGATGAGGAGAAGGTCCCGCCCAGGTCTCCGTCGAGATCTTCGGATGGCTGTTTTTCCGGAGTCTCCGATGTGTGTGGTGCTTTCAGGAGGCTCTCGCAACGCTCTGGACGTCTTCGGATATTCCCAGAGGTTTCCCGCTGTTCTTGGAAATCTTCGGGGGAGATTTTCGGGGGTGGTCGTCGTCATAGTCGTTGTCGCGTGGGGCAAGACCTACAGAGCAGACCCCCCCAGTGCGAAAACAAGAAGACACGGACTGTGGTTGTTTTTGACTGGGCGGGGATCTATTGGGAAGGCCTCGCGGCCGGTGCCGCCGACGCTGAAGGGACGACGACGACGACGACGACGACGATGACGACGATGACGACAGCGGCGGCGGCGACGACGACGCTGACGTGGGGCAGAGTCCTCAGTGTTGCTTCGTGGGGCCTCTTCGGAGCGCGCCCGCGGGCCTCCGGGGAGCAGTCATGGGGCCTCCCTGGGAGCCGCTTGGGGCCCTCGGGGGCCACTTGGCAGCCTCTCGGGGGCCTGTGTTGGCCACTCCTGGGGACCGGGCGCCATGCAGGGGGGCTACTTACTGACCGCCTACCAGACCACCCCAACCCAATCCGAAGACCCGAATTTCGGGTTGAGGGGGGTACGGGTTCAATGTATATATGTATGTATATATAGATACATGTACATGTGTGTATATATATACATGTATCTATATGTATTCTATGTTCCCCGACCCCCCATACACGGGAAATGGAAGACTAATTGAGGCCTTCGGGTTTGGGGTTGGGGTGGCTTGCTGGGTGGTGGCTTAATTACCGTGGGCCTGGCGCCGCCTCGCTCTCCCGGCCATCTTCCTGCGGAGCGCCCGCAAGTACTCCTCCTTCGGCGGCGAGCCCAAGGGGGAAGTGAGGGGGGAACGAAAGAAGGGGTGGATAGCAAAGGTTAGGGTAGAGAATCAGCTCACGTAGCTGATTTTCCCAGCGCCTCCCGGCGCTGGGAGGCGCCCATGCATTGAGAAATGGGCCCAGCGGCGGGGCCGAATCCAGCTGCATGCAGCAAATTTCGTAACCCCCCTTTCCCTATCCCCTCCTTTCGTTCGGCCCGAAAGGTCTGGTGGCAACTCATGGGAGCCTCCCGTACCATCTTGTCGGCTCGTGTGAATCGACGCCAATCGACGCTCATCGACCCAGTTTTGATGCAAATCGACGCTAACCGACGCTAAATCGGCGCCATCTCATCGACTCCAGGCGCTAATCGACGCTAATCAACGCTGAAGACGGAATTAAGAGGGTATACCAGGCTGCCACGGAAAGAAGGGGCGGGCCTTCTCAGAAGGCTCGAAGGTCCCTGGCCTCCTGAGAAGTTCTCGAAGCCCTCCACGAAGACACAGGAAACCTCTCCGAAGGCTGGAGGGTTTCTGAGGAGCCCCGCCGCTTTCTGAGAAGGCCTTCTCCTTCTCTCTTCACCCCCTCGCTCGCCGCCGATTCCTGGCTCCAGTCGCGACAACCGAGGCCCTGCAGCAGCCCGTCCTCGTGGCAGACCTGACCAGGGGCCAGCACCTCTAAAGAGCAACAACGGCATAAGCATAAACTTGTGACGCTCCGCGCGGATTTTGGGGATCTGTGCTGGACCCCCCCTCCCTGGCGCGCGGAGCGCGCCAGGGGCACCGCCGGAGGCGCCGCAAGGAGGCTCCAGCGCGGATCCAAGAAATCCGAGCGGAGCTCCGAAAGTCTATGTCTATGCCGTTGTTCGTTCTTCGAACCTCTCTTCGGCGGTCCCCCGTATCGGTCCAGTCCACGAGCAGGTGCACACGATCGGTGGACCCCTCGTTCACGACTCGGTGCTGCCATCTGTTGTTGAGCTCGTAGGCGAAGCCCTCCTGCAGCAGGAGGCGCCTCCACGGCAGATGCGGCCGGCCCTTTCCTGCCCCGTGGCGCCGCACGAAGATGCTGCAGTCCGCGTTCGCGACCACGGGCACGTGGACACGGTGGGCATTCGTCGCCCAGATGCCCTGGTCCACGTGGGGCCTGATCTCTCCACCAGGCTCCACGCGGTTCAGCTGGGCCCTGATGACGTGGCGGTCTGGGTTCAAGCCGTATTGCTCGAACACCCCCTGCAGGATTGGCAGCACGGCGGGCTTGAACCTCTCGGCTAAACGCAAGGGTGACACCAGGCAAGCGTGACCTGTGCTGCGCGGCTTACGGATCGTCGCATGCGATGCGGCAGTAGGGGCCTGCGTGAGCGTGTCTGGCCCCCCCGTGCCCCCCGAGAAGAGCCCACGACAGACGGCAGGACACTCGGGTGGAGGGCCAATTGGACGTGTAGCCGGGCCTATCCCACCAGGGGAACTCGAAGAACTGCGTGAGGTCCATATCCGAGTAGATCAACCGGATCGTCGTGACGCCAGGTCTCGGACCGTAGAACTTCGCGCGGCGGCCCTTCAGCACAGCGTTGGTCCGCTCCTCCTCCTCGGCCGTCCACGCCTCCGGAGTCAGCATCTCGCGGAGCTCTGCGACGAAGGTGGTGTTCACCGCTCCTCGCCAACGGAGAACGCATCCACATCCCGGGCATCACGGTCCCGACCCCTCGGCCGCGGTCCTATGGAGACTGGACGGCGTTGCGCGGATGCCCCGCGTGGAACTGATCCATGGGATTGCGCTTCCGTTGGATGGCGCCTCGGTGTCCAGACCGCGAACGCATGGATGAGGCCATGATGGCATAAATCCGACGAGGTGCAGTGTTTTCTCAGCGGCGCCAGAACTCACGACACATCCCTCAGGGGTATCATTCGTCCTAGATCCAGTTTCTGTTCACGGTCCTCGGGCCCGATGGCGGCCCCCCGAGGCCAAAGTTAAAGAGAGAATCGCCAGGACTGCAGACATCAGTGCTGCCGAATGATTGCTGTCGTGGCGTGGGCCCCCCAGGATACCCATCCCTTCTCTGGGACTGTCTTTGTAACCCAGTGCCGCGTTCTGACGATGACGCCCAAAATCCCGAGAACGGCCCCGAAAAAGCTGACAGCGTAACACACCGGCCGTCACGGCTGTTCCTTTTTGGCGACGCAAAAGCCTGATGGGATTCGTGGGACACAGTGTAAGCCAGCGTGGACCCCAAGCAGTGCGTCAATGCACGTTGGAGGTGAAAGCTATGCGGTGTGAGCTGAGGAGGTGGAATCTATGCGTTGCAAGATATGTGATGTAAGCTATGCCGGATAAGCTATGCGGCGTGGTCTTGGAGCGGGATCTATGGGGTGAAACCAAACACTTGCTCAACTTGAAGCTGTCCTCTCCACTGCTCGCGCAAACATCCCACCCTCCCACCCGCAACTTGGTTTGCAAAACCTCTTAAGACCGACTACGACGACACCGACGACAACGACTAGGACGACACCGACGACGTCTCCGACGACTTCGACGACGACGACGACGCCGACGCCGACGACGACGAAGACGACGACGACGACGCCAACGAAGGCGATGACGAGGGAGAAGGAAGAACGACGACGGCGACAACGACGACAACGACGACAACGACGAGGGAGGAGGGAGGACGGCGACGACGCGAACGACGACGAAGGAGGAAGGACGGCGACGCCGACGACGACAACGACGAGGGAGGAGGGGACGACGACGACGACGACGACGACGGTGACGAAATAGAACCGACGACGAGACGCCGACGACGGACGACGACGACGACGTGGGAGGAGGAGGACGGACGACCACGGCGACAACGACGACGGAAACGACCACGACGCCAAAGAGGACGACGACGACGAACACGAGAAAAGACAGAGGACGACGTGGGCGACGACGACGACGACGCGGGAGGAGGGAGGACGGCGACGACGACGACGGCGACGACGACGACGACGACGCAAGAGCGCGCGCGCACGCTTTTGTTGAAAATCCGTGTTGCGAAACCTTAGGTTTTTGTACGTTTTGGACGCACGATTTCGACATCCTTCCGAAACCGATGGGTTTTGAAGGTTTTCGGCGTACACCCGCGACGACGCGCGCGTCTGCACTTCGCCCCGTTTTTTGCAAAGGATTCTCGCGACGGCACACGCGCAAGGGCGTTCGACAGATTTCGACATGCGCGCGCGAAGCCCGTTTGGTAGCATGTTGTGAAAATCTTGAAAAACCTATGGTTTTCTTAAGATTTCGCAAGAGCTCGCGCGGAAGCTTTTTTAGCAAACCAGTGTTGCGAAACCATGTGTTTTTGTGTGTTTTTTTAGAAACTCGATTGCGAAATCCTTCCGGCACCGAAGGCTTTTGAATGATTTCGGCATGCGCGCGCGACGACGCGCGCGTGTGCACGTCGTCCCATGTTTTGCAAGGGATTCGCGAAGCAGTGTTATGTTAGAACAAAAAATGTCACCGCACAGTGTTTTCTTTCACCAGGGAACCTCAGGGGGGGAAACCGGTTTCGCTGGGATGATATGGTTTCATATTTAGGATGGACGAGTGGTCCGAACCATATATGATTTACATACCCGAAAGGGTAACGGATAAGTCCGGGGGGGGGTAGAGTTTATTCTCCTGTTAGAAAGGAGAATCCACTCTGCTGAACTTGAAGTCGTCATTTCCACTGCTCGCGCAAACATCCCGCCCTCCCACCCGCAACTTGATTTGCAAAACCTCTTAAGACCGACTACGACGACACCGACGACAACGACTAGGACGACACCGACGACGTCTCCGACGACTTCGACGACGACAACGACGCCGACGCCGACGACGACGAAGACGACGACGACGACGCCAACGGAGGCGACGACGAGGGAGGAGGAAGGACGACGACGGCGACAACGACGACAACGACGACAACGACGAGGGAGGACGGAGGACGGCGACGACGCGAACGACGACGAAGGAGGAAGGACGGCGACGCCGACGACGACAACGACGAGGGAGGAGGGTAAACGACGACAACGACGACGACGACGGCGACGAAATAGGAGGGACGACGACGAGACGCCGACGACGGACGACGACAACGACGTGAGAGGAGAAGGAAGGACGACCACGGCGACAACGACGACGGAAACGACCACGACGCCAAAGAGGACGACGACGACGAACATGAGAACAGACAGAGGACGACGTAGGCGACGACGACGACGACGACGCGGGAGGAGGGAGGACGGCGACGACGACGACGACGACGACGCAAGAGCGCGCGCGCACGCTTTTGTTGAAAATCCGTGTTGCGAAACCCTGGGTTTTAAAGTTTTTTGGACGCACGATTTTGAAATCCTTCCGAAACCGATGGTTTTTGAATGTTTTCGGCATGCGCCCGCGACGACGCGCGCGCATGCACTTCGCCCCGTTTTTTGCAGAGGATTCTCGCGACGGCACACGCGCAAGGGCGTGCGACAGATTTCGACATGCGCGCGCGCGAAGCCCGTTTGGTAGATGTTGTGAAAATCTTGAAAAAAAACCTATGGTTTTCTTAAGATTTCGCAAGAGCTCGCGCGGAAATGTTTTAGCAAACCAGTGTTGCTGTGTTTTTGTATGCTTTTTGGAAACTCGATTGCGAAATCCTTTCGGCACCAAAGGCTTTTGAAGGATTTCGGCATGCGCGCGACGACGCGCGCGTGCGCACGTCGTCCCATGTTTTGCAAAGGATTCGGGAAACAATGTTATGTTATAATAAAAAATGTCACCGCGTAGTGTTTCCTTTTACCAGGGAACCTCAAGGGGGGAAACCGGCTTCGCTGGGATGATATGGTTTCATACTTAGGATGGACGAGTGGTCGGAACCATATATGATTTACATACCCGAAAGGATAACGGATAAGTCCGGGGGGGGGTAGAGTTTATTCTCCTGTTGGAAAGGGGAATCCACTCTGCTAAACTTGAAGTCGTCATTTCCACTGCTCGCGCAAACATCCCACCCTCCCACCCGCAACTTGGTTTGCAAAACCTCTTAGGACCGACTACGACGACACCGACGACAACGACTAGGACGACACCGACGACGTCTCCGACGACTTCGACGACGACAACGACGACTTCGCACTTCGTTCCATTTGTTGCAAGGGATTCGCGAAAAAGTTATGTTTGAAAAACATATGTCACCGCATAATGTTTTTATATATAAAAAGGGAACCTCAGGGGGGGAAACCGGCCCAGCTGGGATGGTATGATTTCATATTTAGGATGGACGAGTGTGCAGAATACATGTATATATATGAAACCATACTATCCCAGGGGGAACCGATAAGTCCGGGGGGGGTAGAGTCTAAGAGATCGGAGTTGCCATCTCCACTGCCCGCGCAATCATGACACCCACCAGCCCGCAACTTGGCTTGCACAACCCATGCGGCAGCGATTGCGACGAGCGATTAGAGATGGATGGCTGGTGCACCTCTGTGGCCGCGCCAGCCCGCGCATGCTCGCGCGCACAACGGTCAACCAGTTTGGCGCGACCCACGCGGCCGCAATGGCGCTGACCGGTGGGCACTTCCCAGCGGGCTCTGCAGTGCGAGTCGATGACTTGGGCGGGCGCGGTACCATGTCGACGTCGACAGCGACAGGCACGATGATGATAGTAGCGATGACAGCGCCGATGCTGATCACGCCGATGACGATGAAAGTGTCCTCGCGTCGGTGCTGAAGGTTTTGAAAGGAGTTCGACATGCGCGCGCGGCCGACGCGCGCAACTGGCCCGCACGACATTAATTGACAGTGATAGTGCCCCCTCCCAGCACACCCGCAAGGGCGCTCGTATCATTTCGACATGCGGCGCGAGAGGCCCCTTGGTCGACTTTGGTGAACATGTCGACAGACCTATGGTTTTGTTAAATATTCGCAACAGCGCGCATACCTTTTTTGAAAGCTGAGGTGGTTGCGAAACTATTGGTCTTCAATATGATTTCGGGGCACTCGAGTTTGATATCATTACAACACAGGGTGTTTGAAGTATTCAGGCATGTGCGCGCGACGACGAGCGCATGTAAACATCGTCTCATATTTTGCAAGGGGTTATTGTGACAGCACTCGCGTAAGGGCATTCGAATCCTTTCGACATGCTTGATGAACACGTTGAAAGCTCGATGGTTCCTCAAACTTCGCGTGAGCGCGAGCGCAAGCTTTTTGGGAAATTCCATGGGCGCATCCACTGGGCGTGAATATGTTTTCGAAGCACTCGGTGTTGATATCCTCTTTATGTTTTAATATATAGCAGATTCTGGCATGGGCGCGCCACGACCCGTACGTGTGCACATCGTCAGTTTTTTTTGAGAACGGATGAGTATCGGAAACTGATGGTTTGTTATAATCTTGTTTGCGCGCGCATGTTTTTTTTGCAGGGGATGAGGGGGCGTGGCGATAAGAGACTGCCCGGGATAGTATGGATTTATATTTAGGACGGAAGAGTGTGCATAATCAAATGCGAAAACACAATATGAGAAGGAAAGGCGTTAAGTCCGAATGGGGGTAGATCCGCATATTCTGTTTGAAAGGATAATATATAGGTGTAGAGAGGGATGTGAATATATATATGTATGTATATATACATACCTATATATACATATATATATATATATGTTGCGAGGGACGTTGTGTAATAGATGCGGCGTAAGCTATGTGGTGAAAGCTGTCGTAGAAGCTCTGAGCACGGGGCGCTCGCGAGGCGCCCACGAGGCGGCACGGGCGGCAACGTGGCGCAACCACGACATACCCCCCCTCGGCGAACGGGGCGCCCGAGAGGCGCCATCGAGGCAGCACGGGCGGCAGCGTGACACAACCTCGGCATGCCCCCAAGCGCGGAGCGCCCACGAGGCACCCACGAGGTGGCACGGGAAGGTGGCGAAAACCCGAAATGCCAACCAACCAATTTCCCCCCAGGAAGATAAAAGTCAGAACCCCTACGTGCAAGCTCTGTGGGGGGAAAGAGGGCCTCTCCCGGGGCGCCTCCTGACCTGCACTTCGAAGAGAATCCAGCCGTGGCGACGAGGGCTCTCCAGAACGAGCAGCGGTATCAGAATCCTCTCCTCCTCTGAGATATGGAGGTAGGGCAACAAACTCTATACACCGACGTTGTTTTCGGCTCTGCACTGTCACTTGCGCAGGAAAACGGACCCTGGTGTAACCACATGCCAAGGATAACAAAGCATTCCCCCCTCAACCCTCTAGTGCTGATTATCTCTGGGCCGAAATACTTCTCAAATTCGGTGGGGGGCGACGGGGCCGAACTGTTTCTACCGGGGGGAAAATCGAAACGTTGACCGGATTCTCCTAACATTGCTACCATTACAATCACCATCAGCATTATCTATCATCTTCATCATCAGCATCGCCTCCACCTCCTCCTGCCCCTCCTCCTCCTCCTCCTCCTCCTGCCCCTCCCCCCTAGTGCGCCTCCTCCTCGCAGCTCCTCGCGCTCCTTCTTCCCCCTCCCACCCCCCCCCCTTCCCCTCGCCCCGAACTTGTTTCATCCCGGGTGTTCATTCTCCCCGAATATCAACCCCATGGACTCACCTGCGCGTTTTGAAATTGACTGGAAATCACCTCCACTATAACCGAAAATCACCCGCATGGCCCATGGAGTTCCCCTGGGAAATCACTCCAAACTGATTGTTTTGGAAAAATAAATAGGGATTTGGTCATATTCTAATGTTGATTGTTGTTCCTCCTCCCCCTCCATCGTGGTGAGGGCCGCTCGAGCTACAGAAACCGCCACCCAAGTGCGCTCGAGGAAAACAAGCTACGAAACATAAGGGGAAGGAGGAGGATGAGGAGGAGGGGGGAGGAACACCCTCAACCCCCTCCTCACCATCATTTATGCTGACCCTGCCGGGACAATCTTCGAATATCACCGCGCGGCCCCGAACTTTATGATACCCCCCTGTGATTACCTGGGGTCCTCTGGTGCACGGGGTCCTGGTGTATGTATTGTTGTATGTTTCGTAGCTGCCCCAGGAAACGGACAAAAAACATACACGACACCACCCCCGACGGCGTCCCCGACCCTCAACAAAACCCTGGGATAAAAAAACAGCCCACCACTGGTACCCATCGGTCGGAAGAGGTAGGTAGAAACATGAAATGGGAAGGCGTTGAAAACAGATTGCGAGTCCGCCCGCCCCCTCTAGAGGACGGAAAAGGTGAAGCCACTCGATCATTGAAGTAGGAAGGCGCTTTGTAGTATATTGGAACCTGCGACTCCAAAAATACCTACTTCCAACGACCGATGGGTAATGTACATGCTCCAGTTTCCGACCGTGAGCTCCGAGGTTCAGGTAGGCAACCTCCTCGGCGTCCCTCGCCAGGTCCAACCGCGCGCCGCGCGCCGCGTGGTCCCGTGCGAGTCCCTCGCAGGCCGCCCCGCCCTGGGAGAGGAGGGCCCTGCGGTCGGGAACCTTTGTTTTGGCGTATCGCAGCGGCGGCCCCGGCGGCACGCCCTGCACGCTGTGCGAGCGGATACAGTCAACCCGTATAGTAAGGATGCGCGGTAAGGATGCAAGGGCCTTGCCACGTCAATGTTTTTTTAGTGAGGCTGGCCAGCGAGAGCGGCCAAGGATGGACCGAGGATGCAAGGATGCAAGGGCAGCCTTGGGAAAGGTGCCCATCCTTACTGTGCTGGTTGACTGTAGCGTGACGCTCAGTTTCGCGTCGGCGGCAAGCGCGGGGGGTGGGGAATGAGAAGGAGCAGGCCTTCTCGGAAGGCGGCGGGGATTCTCAGAAGCCCCCGCGCCTTCCGAGAAGCTGTCTGCCTCTTCGGGGAAGGCTTGGGGAACTTCCCGGAAGGCCGAGAGACTTCCGAGCCTTCTGAGAAGGCCGTCTCCTTCTCGCTTCCCCCCCCCTGGTTCGCCGCCGACGGGAGGTTGGGAAAGGTCTGGGACGCTGACGCCTGGAAACGGGGGCGTGGTTGGCGTGGGCCAGAACAGGCGGCGCGACAAGCTAAGCGCACGCGCACGTTCCTGACCGCAAGGACGAGAAGGAGGAGGAGGAGGAGGAGGAGAAGGAGGAGGAGGAGGAGGGGGAGGTGGAGGGGGAGGAGGAGGAGGAGGAGAAGTCGACGCAGCCAGGAGACGAGGAGTGCCTGAAGTTCCCTGGCAAATCGCGGGCGGGAAATGTCCAGAAGTGTCCACGGCCTCGCGGCGCGCAGTCCAGACCCCTCGGCCGCGAGCCCATGAATAAAGAGACCTCTGCGCGGATCGCATGCTCAGCATGAGGGAAGCGGGTCCTGAGGGAAACGAGTCCTGTGATGGGCTTGTTCTCCGCCGCCACCACCATAAGTTACTAAGGTGAAGAGGGGGAAGGAGGAGGGGGGGAAGGAGGAGGAGGAGGAAGAGGAGGAGGAGGAGGCGGAGGTGGAGGAGGAGGAGGAGGAGGAGGAGGACCCCCTCCCCCTCCAGCTTATGGCGGTGGTGGTGGAAAACAGGCCCATCATTCTGGACCCTTCGGCCTTCCCCCAGGACAGCATCTTCATCCTGAGCCGCTTTCTGACAGCCCCGGGGCCCGTGCAGGGCCCGGGGAGCCCAGTCGCGGCGAAAAACCTCAGGGCCCCTTTCCCCCATGGCTGAGGGGCAACGACAGGAGGGGACTCTGGCACAGGAGGGGAACATCGACCTGAAAGTCGGCGATGCATCGCCGATAGATTGGCGACAGGCCCCCGGCAGGTTGGGACATCGGGCCCCCATCGGCGATCCATGGGCGATTGGGGGTCGATGCATCCCCCATCATGCCTATCCCCCCCTATCGTTGCCCCTGATGAGTCTCTCTTCGTGACCCGAAAGGGGTCTAGCTGAAAGGAGGGGGTGCACTAGATTTGGTGCACTTGCATTGCAAATGTATTGCGCCAGAGACTTGTATTGCATTGTATAGCAGCTAATGTACTGCACCCGAGAGTTACTTGCGCACTGGAATGTATTGCATATATCGCACGCCCCAGATGCACTGCAACCCCACGACCCTTTTGCACCAGCTCTATGGCACCACTCCCTCTTCGCTGGACCCCCTTTAGCGGCGCGCAGAGGGGGGTAGGGGGAGGGGGGAAGGCTTCTTAGAAGGGGGCTGCTTCTTAGAAGGCGCTGGCCTCACATGTATAGCGAAGGCCCGCGCCTTCTAAGAAGCAGTGGTGCTTCTAAGAAGCCTTCCCCCCTCACCCCACCCCCCTATGCGCGTGGCCGACCCCTTCTGGGTCAACCAGGGAGTCTCCCCCGTGGCGAGCATGCCTGGGACCGCGCCTCGGTGCCCACACGGCCGGCCCGCTGGGGAAGGGCCCGGGGACCCCGTGCTTCGCAGGGGCGCTCCGGGCCCCCCTCCGCCGACGGCGCCCGCCTGCCCCGCGCCTGCGCGCGTCCGGGGCCGCCGCCCAGGGGCGCAGATCCCTGCCCCAGTCCCAGACCCCCTCGCGCTGCGAAAAAAACAACACGACAGGAAGTCTTTCGCTATTTTCGGCCTCCGGGGGTCCCTCCCGGGCCTCGGGACCCTCAGAAATCGACTCGGGAGGAAAAACCGATTCCGGGGAAGGGGTCCAGACCTCTGGGGGTCGACGTTGTGTTGCAAAAATCACGACGTCGGAGGTGTGGGGAGGGGGGGAGGAGGAGGAGGAGGAGGAGGAGGAGGAGGAGGAGGAGGAGGAGGAGGAGGAGGAGGAGGAGGAGGGAGGAGGAGGAGGAGGAGGAGGAGGAGGAGGAGGAGGAGGAGGGAGGAGGAGGAGGAGGAGGAGGAGGAGGAGGAGGGGTCCAGACCGCTGAGACAAAAATCACGACGTCGAGGGTCTGGGGAGGACCTGCACCTCCGACGCCCCCACCCCACCCCCGGGGCTCTCGGCCTCTGTTCCCGAGTGCTGGGGCCTCCACTGGGCTCGAGCTAAGCAGTGTTTTTTGTTGCTATCGTTTTTTCGTTTTTTGGCTTCGGTCTTCTGCGTTCGGTCCTCGTTCCGCCTCTGCTGCAAAACGCAGTCAGAACGAAAGCGGTCTCGTTTTGGTTTCGGTCTTCCGCGTTCAGTCCTCGTTCCGCCTCTGCTGCACAACGGAGCCAGAACGAAAATGGCCCACGAAATCGCCCAAACGCCGTTTAGCTCGAGCCCTGGGCCTCCACTGTCTCAGCGCGGGGCCCCTTGGGCTGCTGACCCCTTCCCCGGGGCCGCGTTCTCATCCAGGACCGTCTCCCCTGACGGTCAGACAGACAGACAGACAGACAGACAGAGTCCCGCGCTGAAGGCACCCGTGTAGGTGCAGCGGGTGGTCGCCGAGGCGCCCGGACAGAATGGACAGAATGGGCCCCTGACGGTCAGAATGGATCCGAAGATGGGTCCCTTGAGGCCGAGGATGTTGAGCGACAACCACCGCCTTGAGTGCTTCAAGACACTGGAAGTCGCTGGAGGTCTGGTGAGGAGGAGGACCCCCGAAGAGCGAGCTGCTGGACCTCTGCCCAGCACGATGGCAGGCAGGCTGCAACGAGGAGCAGAAGAGGGAGGATGATGAAGGAGAAGGTATGAAGAGGAGGGAGGAGACGGGAGGAGTAGTAATGTAGACGAGACGAGAAAGAACGACGAGGTAAGAAAATATGAGCACATATAGATTCGCCGGCCCAGCAGGCCAGAGGCGTCCTAAAATCTCTGGTAAGAATTTCTGAATGTCTCTCGTTCGCGCGCGCGTGGCGGCCCCTGGAGGCCCCCGGACGAAAAACAACTCCCGCAAGGCCCCGGCAGGTTCCCGGCAGGTTCGTGTCACGGATGCCGGAACGCGGGGGGCCCTGGGGGCTGCTGGAGCGCCCCAGGAGTGCCCCGAGGAGGTGTCAAATAGGCGGCAGGCCTCACGGCCTCAGGCCAAGAGCCTTCCAAGATGGCCCACGTTGGTCTCAAGACGGCCCAAGAGGCGGTCAGCACGCCCCAGGAGGGCCCCCAGGAGGGCCCGAAGAGGCAACATTCATTGATTTTGCATGGGTTTTTGGAAGATTTGGGCGTTACCGCCGTTTCAACCGTCCGACCGCCCAGGACAGCCCAAGAGGCCTCCAAGATCGCCCGAAGTCAGCCCAGCAGGCTCTCAGGACGGCGCCAAGATACATCAAAAAGGCTCCAAGACGGTCCAAGAGGCCTCCCCAGAGAGTTCCAGAGGCTCCCCTGGGGCCCCCAAAAGGGGATTCCGAACAGACATGTCGAGCTTTCCTCGGAAATTGGCCCCCGAGACCGCCAGCAGGCCCCCAAGAACCCCTCAAGAGGCCCCCAACAATCCAAAAGAATACCCCACAGGGCCCCCAAGAGGCGCGACCCAGTTAGGTCCCAACATTACTCCAAGAAGCCGTCGACAACTCCTCCTCCTCCTCCTCCTCCTCCTCCTCCTCCTCCTCGTCCGCCTCTTCCTCGTCCTTGTCCTCGTCCTCGTCGTCCTCCTCATCCACCTCCTCCTCCTCCTCCTCCTCCTCCTCCTCCTCCTCCTCCTCCTCCTCCTCCTCCCACCAGATCGAGCCCCCTTATCCTACTTCAGCCGCGCCCCAACATATAGCAACAGTTGTGCAAACTGGGGCGGTTCAGTGAGCGAAGCGAATGAATAATGCTGACAATTCATATCAAAACAGGAAAGGAAACGAAGGAGGGAACGGCGGAAGAGGAGAGACACTCCCCTTGAACCCCCTGACACCTCTTAAAATATCCTGCCTTCTCCGCCACCCCCTTGTTCCCATCCATCATCATTCCTGCCCCCTGTTCCTCCATGGGGGAGGCGGCGTTCCGGCCAACAAAAATCGGGGGGGATCCACCCGCGGCCTGCCCGAGGCCCAGACAGGCACAGACGAGTCCCCCTGTGGAAAAAACTCGACCCTCAAGGACAATAAGAAGGAGAAGGAGGAGTAGGAGGGGGGGAGGCGAGCGTGGAATGGGAGAGGGGACGAACACAGGAAGGAGTAGGAGCGAGGAAGATGAGTGAGCCGCGCAGCGGCGTGCCGTTGGACCAGAGCTCCCTTTTTCTAAGGGGGCGAAATTGAAACGAACGTAAATCATGATAATTCGGAAAACGAGTATCTCGGCGGTGGACAAACCTCCCTTTAGTAAACCTCCCCTTAGTGAAAACTGCCTGGGACCGAAACCGACGGCCCTGGCCCCGCAAAAAAGACGGCCGTGACGCTCTCTCTCGAACCGACAACGGCCAATTCCTTAATCGAGGTGTCAGGGTAGGAGGTCTATCCACCTCCGAAGATCAAGTTAGAGCACGCGGGTGGCAAAATCGGGGGCCTCAGAGTTCCACGGGACAACGGGTGCACGACCAATGCCAAACAGAAAGAGAACACGGGGAGCGGTCTCAAACACATACACATGGCGGCGTTCTAAGTAGTGAGAAAGCGATCGGCCACTGAGCACCCACAGAAAATATGAGGTAACCTG